CTCCTCCTTCTCCTCCTAGTGTTATCTGGTATGTGCGGCCTAGCTAGTTCCTGTCACTGCGGCTCTGGTTGTAACTAACCGAAGTGTGGTTTCAAGTTTCTTTATCCTCCTTTATCCCAGCCTTTCCTCCTCTAATACCACTTCTGATCCATCTTATCTCTTGTTAATCTGCCCACTTATACCAAGACCCACAGGCCACAACCTTATTTCAAGTTAGAGCGGGGTTAAACTTGGCCTTTGTCCACTATTACACTGACTTATTGCTTTTACATTATTTCCCCTCTAGACTTAATAAGACGAGGTGAAGAAAGGCTAGACTAGTCAGATGGGCTCTATTTTATTGAACTTGAATGGTCACCTGTACTTTTACTTATTTCTAACTGTACTTGACTTGTCGCGTCCCTCCTGCGAGTTACCCTTTGTGGTTACTGGTTAGCCCCCGTCCTCGTGGCTCCGTCATAAAGCCGGTGTAGTTCACTGTCTCCAGTTTCAGGTTTCAGTCTTTTAATTTTCTTTATTGGATTATCACTGTGCTACTCTTATTGCTATTTGGTCTGGTTTCGTGGTTCACACTTTTTTAAGTCTTTAGGTATGACGTAGATAAAATGAAGGTTCTTAGTCTGAGAATTTCTGTTTATTAAGATTAAAATAGACTGTCACTAGTTTGTTAGGAAAATATGCTTAACGTTACCACGCATCAAGCTATGGTCAATTATCATATTATGAAAATATGCAATGATCCGAAATTCATGCGTAGAAAAATGATCCTTACTATTTTGTTTGAGCAGTTTATTTCGAGTTTCATAAAATATTTCGACTTCTTACTTTTGTGTAATGATCTCAAATGTTCGTCATGGATAATATTCGATTTGGTCGCGTTATTAATCCGCCAGAAATATTTTGCTTTCTGTTCTCTACTCTCATACTACAGCTGCGCTACTCGGTAATTATATGCTCAGTATTAACACAAATATTTCTTACTTACTTAACTACATAGCTTGTCTACAAATTTACTTGGTTAAACAATATTTACTTAATTTAACAATATGTGATAACATAACCGCCATACGTTTAACAGACTATCACCCTCAGATAAAGCAATTTTAAACAGAATTTACCGATAAGAAATCTGTCAGTTCAATTTATTTGTGCTTGATACTCGTCGTGGTTAAAGATATTTACATGGGACGCTTTCACCATGTCAACATTTTAACATATGTTTATTGTTTACTTCTTTAACATTATGTCGCTTATATAAAGATAAGTTATAACCCGGTTATATAAGCGTTAAACCGCCCTTGGTTAAGCCCCTTCCTAGTTTAGGCCCAAGAGATTTTGTTTTTACCCTTTTAAGGTTCTCCTGACATGCAGGCCCCATTCAGTTACAAATATGTTTGCTCTGCTTTGTTTGTAACCGAGGTTATGTGATAACTAGGCTCTAAACAAAGTTTTTAACCCGATTTCTAAGTTCTTTAGAACTAGGTCAATAAGGTCTGATTTCAATAACGATATGCGAGAAGCTCATTAATTCAGATCGTGGCGTATTATAGTTATTAATTTAAGCTTATTAATTGTTACGTCACACAACTGTGCAGCGGAGACACCCTTGTAAACCACTTTATAGACGCTTAAAAATCACACCCAACGAATGAACCTTGAAGCGATCCCATACTAAAACTAACCTTTAACCTGATTACATATTCAGCCCCCTGGTTTAAATTAAATTACACCTGTGAACGGAGTCTGAAGTGTCTGTAAATCAGGGTTGTATGCCCCCAGGCCGCTAACCTACTTACAGGGATCATTTATCAATCACAGCTCGTGGCACTGAATGTTGGTATAAGAAATGAACTAGACATGACTGGTTAATAACAAAGAGAATTGTTGCAATTTATTGCCCCTGCTCCCCTCTAATTAATATTACCGTGTTTTACATTCCTTGTTAGATGCTGTTCATTCCTGGGGGGAGGTGTCATCCCCTTATTGGAGGGGGGCTGTCTGGTAGACAGTATTATCAATTCTACGTGGCATGGACTGGTAACCATAATTCCTTAGTATATTATTTAGGAGCAAATTTAATACCTGGCTCTACAATATCCGTCCTGATAAAATTCCTGGATCAAGTTCAAATTCCTCGGGTGGGGGGTCTCCACCCCTCCTATCGGGAGCACCCCCCTCCCTGGCCCTCCCACGGTTTCCTCATATCTTATTTCCACTAATATACAGCTCCCTCTCAAATTATAACGACTAGTGCACCTGATCTCTGCCAAATGACCATAATTTTATTATGAAATTTGTTCTTGATTCATTTATGTCCAGTCTTTGTTTGCCTGGGGCCTCGTTTTGTGTTTATGTCATTATTCATCCTGCTCCCGGATGAAGAGTATTCAGTTGCAGACTGTTGGTGTCCCTACCACCTCTGAAATTTTCATAGCATTAAACAGTCGTTTACTCATCGTCAGGTGCCTCACCCCTGCATTTTTGCCCCATTTTAGATTTGATTTAATGTTGTTTAAATGATGAGTGATGACATCAATGATATCAAATAGATTTTTGCAGGTGTTTTTCAGAGGGTCTAGATGATATCATCGCTCTTAGACTATCTTCAAATTAAATCATAATTAGGCATGATTATTCGTCTTTTCATAAATCGAATATCATAATATTAATAAGGCACATCTTAAGTCGACAAACAGTTGATTCCATTGAATTTCGCTACATTTTAATGACTGGATATATATACTTATATATTCAAGGCTAAATATCTCAGCAAATCTGTACATAGCGGTTACAGGAACATTCACATTTTATGTCATATTTTTGCTATTCAATACGTTTGATACGATAAGCAAGATTTACATTGATTGCTGTGGTACTGGAGCTTCTCGAGTCTTATCTTCGTCTGTATCTATTTCTGTATCGGGAATGAGTGAGAGTTACCGAAGGAACAAGGAGCTACCTTCAGCTATGTGATAGAATGTCGTAAAATTCCGTGCATTCTAGTCATTCTCTATTTATACAAGCTCTTAGCTACCAAAGTCAATATATATGCGACGCAGGCCAGGCATTTGTAAAATGTTTTCCGGTTGTTTCCATGATTAGCTACCAAAGTCAATATATGTATATATATATATGCGATGCACGCAGGCATTTGCAAAATGTTTTCCGGTTGTTACCATGATTAGCGATTTCCAGTTCCCGGAAATCAGTGATCTGCTTGTGCCCGTGAATTCACTTACTATAAAATCCGACCTCTGGTCCAGGAATTTATCCCTCATCACTATTACTCTAGCATTTAACTTACGTTCATAATTCGGAGTATTTGGCGTTTGCATAATAATACGATATTTCTTGACTCCTTTTATAAATTAAGTCTGTTGCCACCGGTTCAAGTTTTAAAGTCACCATAAATCTGACAATCTCAATTTGTCGGATCACTATCGATCTAACTATCAATCTAATCGCTATGCTTATACGATATTCGATATTCTTTGTCCGTAAACCGCTAAAGTTGCCCCAATCATCACGTCATGATATCCAGCATGATAACATCCCCTACACACGTACACACGTACACACGTACACACGTACACACGTACAGTGTTCTATGTTTCATACCCTGCTCTCCCTCTCTATGATTACGTCACAGCTTGTCCCGGACGTTGAACGGAATCCCACGTATTTAGACATAATGTCGTTGTGATGTAACCGCTCGCTCATGTCCCTTTAAGGTCTGGCTTTAGCTCCTTTTAGGGCGATTTGTAAACTTTCATGACTGTTTTTTGACAAGCTTTGAACTACTCAATCCACGATTTATGTTGCATTGGTATTTGTGTATGTCGTGTAGAATTTTGACTTCCTAAAATTGAACGAAGTAGCACTTCCATGTCCCGTAGGACCGGTTTTGTTCCTACACAATCTGCTGGCCCTGTTTGTTTTACCGCCCTTGCTTGTAGTGTCACATCCCAGCGTTCTGATTGGTCAGTGATTGTCGCGTGACCTGAGTACTGGTCTCTGATTGGCTGGGTTGTGCAAACACAGGATTACCAAGCTGGGCATCATCACCCTGCATCACATAGTGTACATTTTTGTAGTGTTAGGTAACTGCTAAAAGGGGGGTGATTTTCAACTGAGTGGTTGTCTGGTTGTCAGTGTAATTTCCTTTTGATTTGTCGTTAAACAATTTTGATTTTGTTGTTAAATATATTTGATTGATCGTCGTGGGCGAGGCAATGAGGTAACTCAATAGATGGTTTTTAATTGAATCAATCAACAAACCAACTTAATATGTTATATGGGCCTAATATATAAGTTGTGGTTATCGTGTTCATTTATATTTGGCAAGTTCTCAACTGAGAAACACTCAAAAATGTACGGTATGCACATAGTTATGGTATGCAGACTGTACATACCTTACATACCATGTAGACTCCATGAGGCTAAAGTTCCTGCCAGATCCCAAGCCACCAAAACAGGAACATTAGTGGCAGTATTGAGTATTCTCAGTGTATCGCGGTTATCAGTTTAACAGTCAGCAGAACGCTGTCTCCTCCCTGGACCTGCTTTAAAACCTGTGTCTGCAGTATTTTCCCCTTTTTGCGACGGGACGACATTAAATATTGTGGGTCTTGTCAGCGCGCAGTTAACCTAGACTGTACACAGTTTAACTTATTCTTAGGGTATATCTTTGATCATCAGCCTGAAGATATTGATATTGCACTAAAGATATGTACAGTTTATGGATATATCTACAAGTTGAATGCGCCTGTCACTGTTTTATGTGACATAATGCCACTATTTTTGTCCTCCGTTCTTTAAATTAGTCTGTCCCCCATTAGTCGGCTTGTAACTTGTAACTTGTAAAATGATCTATATCATTACTTGAATTGTTCTTGTTGTTTGTTAGGAATTTATACTCAATTAAAATTTCTCAAAAATAAGAATTGCAATTGTCAACAAAGTCTGAATTTTACACTGTAACTAACAGTTTCACTGATTAGGACGTACCATGATTGATCTACCTAAAGCAGTTAAGCTCTCCTTCTCGAAACTTCCTCCAAACTGGTCCTATCTCAAAGTCTCTGTTATGACTCCCGTCAACCTGGACATAACGGACATCGAGTTCAAGTCCGCTATCATGCAGTCACTACAGGTTAGCAAGAGTTCCTATTACTTCAGTTATTGTTTTAAATTATAATGTACGACTTGTACACCTTACTTTGTTATCCAGAAGTTGGTGTTTAATTTTAAACTCTCCTTCACAAGCCAGTAAGTTTTAAACAGTAAAGTCTAGACAACAAGTTTATATTATTATCAGTATTAACCCTTCTGTTTCTCAGGTACATCACGGTAAAGTTGGTTCGTTATCACATGTGGACGTTCTGAAGATAACGTCAATGACAAAGTGTCACAACGGTTACTACTCTTGTCACGTGATATTACGCGTTGCCAGGCAACAAAAACAGCACGTTTGGAGCGCCCTTACTCTTATCAAATCCTTCCAGGTACGTGTTTTATCATTTCTACCATTATTAAGTTATGTATAGTTAGTAGTTAGGCACAATGCACATGACAAGACTGTGTGTTTCTTAGACACAACTTTCTTTATTAATTACAGTCCTTCATAAGCTTCTAGAAGAGGGTTATATTCGAGAAGGCACTCTTTTGCTAGATTTTTGGTTCTTGTCGAAAATTCTCAGCATTGGCCACTTATCAGTGAATAATGTTCGAGAAAGTCCGTGTAATAAACTGAAGTGGTCGTTCTAGAACACTGACATGTATTTCTAAAAACATAATATGTCTAGAGTCTAGACTAGAGAGACTAACACATATTATTTTCTTCATGGGTGGCCTTTCTCGAGCACCTTACCTTTATCATGGTCTATTTAAAGGAATAAACTCTGGTCAAACGAAAGCACAAAATCATCAATCTCTAACATTTAACAATCTTTCAGGGATCACGATGCGCTATGAACGTCGTGAAAGAGTCGCCTGTGTTAGTGTCGCTGTTACCGAGCCAAACGTCACCTCACATCGGGCATTCCCGTTACAGGCACCAACCTGCCGTCTTCTGAGCTGCTCGTGACTCGTGACGTCATCAATCACGTCACGTCACTTCTCACGCGTTACTGTCAGCCGATTGCCTCCGGAGGATATCACGCTCAGTGATAGATTGTGATCTGTGGAAGAGTTTGCTTCTAGGAGAGAAATGTTGAATTAAATTTTGTTTTGTATTTCAGTGAATTTTTTACTCCCCTCCCTGATTTTCTGTTTACCCTTCTAGATTTTTGTTAAACGCTCTTGTTAAGTTAGGTATGGTGTTTTAACTTAGAATTAGAATTAGATTGTAAGTTGAATTGAATTGTGGGACACTTAAAGGTGCTGGTTTTGGAATCCTTGCCAGGAGTGATTTGAGACACTTTTTGAGTTAACGTTTGAATCACTAGAATATGTGAACCCCAATATTCCATCTAAATCAGATAGGATAGTATTGTGGCGGGAACACAGTTTTTGCTACATTGAGTGTTGATTTTCATGCTTCATGTTATTTTCACCTTATATCTTGTTCTTATTATTGAAAATGATAAAAAGTAATAAGAATGCAATGTTGGTGAGTTGGTCGCTCAATTTATTTAAAAAATCTGAGAATCTTGCGTTCTAAACAAACGTGTCGATTTCCAAATCAATTTTCACTCTTTCATTTGCATTGGTCACTGTTGTCGTTTACAAAATAGGAGTTTCGCAATAAGAACAAAATGGTATGGAACAAGATTTGGTGTTTTTAATTTCTAATTTTCATTTGCAATTTGCATGAAATTTCGTCTGCAGGGCTAATATGTTTAATGCCACTTAAATTGTGTTACTATTAGCTTACGAATTTGTAACGTTTTACTTAAGTCTATGATGAGGATACTTTACTTTGTTAACGCAGCCATCGTATTTAATTTCTATTTTTCTGTAATAAGCTAAAACGAAACAACAGTCATCATAATGATATCTACAATCTAGGAAATCAGAACACAAAAACAAATCACTTACAAGTTATAATAGATAAATCAGAAAAAATAACAACGAAAAAAGTGGTTATTATTACCCAGTGGTTGGTATTACCCAGTTTGCTGGTCTATGTACTATGGCTCACTGGGAGTTTAATCTAAATCTCCACACTCACAGTATGAGTAGGCACATGACACAATTTGATACGAGTAACGACGAAAATTGTACGGGAAATCGTTTATGTGTTATGGTCACATTTATTCGAGATAAATTACGTCAAAAGCTATAGTCATCAGTCATATTATTCGGCTAATCTTACTCATGACCCAACTTGCTGATATATTACCAATACCAATACCACTGCCAGGCACGCCTATCCCTTTACTTCGCGATTAGATTTTGACAAGACACAGGCTCGCCAAGTTGGACCAAGTTGGGGGGGGGGGGGGCAAACACTTACTGCTGCTTGACCATTGTTAATTTAACGGGTGATACTCGTAAAATATTTGTTCCAGGACCGTCGACGAGTCCAACTCGGCGCGCGTCCTGGTTAGGTTATAAACCTACAACATACAAGTACAACCTAGGGGGAAACGTTATTTTTACATTGTATTTGTTGAATTTGAAACATTTATTTTACGAGTATCACCCGTTAATTTTTACAAGGCAAACATTTTGTTGAAAACCAAATGTTTCTATCTCTTTTATTTTCGAAGTTAGGCCCCTACCAGTAAAGTTTCCTTTAATTTTTGGGCGAGCGAATTAGTAAGAGCCCTTCCAGAATCCAGGGCTGTGTTACCCTGGAGAGTTATGGGCAAAAAACCGTTTTGGTCACGTGACAGGCTAGTAAAAAGTGAATTCGATTATTTAGGGCTCGGGTTAGGGTTAGGGTTGTGGTTAAGATTATGGATAGCTTCGGGGTTATGGTTAGGGTTAGGGTTGGGATTAGGGTTTGTGTAAAACCGTTTTGTACGGCTGCAAAACCAAAAAAATCAAAGTCACGTGAAATTTTTGGGCGAGCGATTTAGTAAGAGCCCTGTGTTACCTGTAACATAGCATTGCCATTAGCACACCTTTTCCTATTTGTAAAATATTAGTATTACAACAGCAAGCTAGTATAGATAGTATAGATAGATCGAGACTTTGAGGCTCCACGGGGGGGGGGGGGGGGGGGGCTTTTACTAATTCGCTCGCCCAAAAATTTCAATTTTAACGTGACTTTGGTTTTTATGGTTTTGAAGCCGTCAAAACGGTTTTACATAAACCCTTCACATAGCCATGTGTATTCGCGTACTAATATAAAACAAATATTAATAAAACAAATATTTATTTTTACGGCACAATCCACAATCAAACAATATCAATAACAAATAAATCAGGGGAGCCGGAGGTTTGAAGAAATTTCAAGTGCCGAAAGCCACTGCTTATCTTTAGGATTTGAGAGTGACCTGTGCTTGAAACCCACTCAGGCTCAACCATCCACTACGTCAATATACTTATTATACAAATATAGAAAAATATAATAATCTAAAATTGGAGGACTTCGCCGCTTCGACGCGCAAACTAGCATTCTTGCTTCGTCGATCGTTGCTCTGCTTCCAGCTTCGCAAAGCAACGATCTCGATGGGTTGACCATTGACACTGATAATAACATCTAAAATTGCTTATTTGGTATTGGTCTAGTTTGGTGACACATGAGGAGAGCCCAGTTTAGTTTTAGTTTGGGTTTAAGTTAATTGACGATGTCAATTCATCTCAGCTCGGCGCGGCACACTGGCACAGTAGCGCATCTCGCCGATCTAGAGAGGAATTGAGGAATTCCAGCAAGATACGCGCCAAATGACGCGCAGTTGCGGAGTAATGTCAACGATTACTTTACACACTAATATCTTACTATATATAAAGGATTTTTACACAGGATTAGGATTACACAGGATTAAAATTAAATTATAGATCCATTATCATGGACCGTCATAATTGTTTACAGAAGTTAATGAAAACAATCATCTTTGCTTGAAGTCAGGGCCAGGGTTATCCTTGAGTCTTAATTATGACTAATTCGCGAGGTTCTCACCAAATTGATAGTAAAATTCTTTAAGTTTCGTGCATTTGAATTACGCTGACGCGTATCTTCGGTGAAGCTATTTCGCTCTTCGGAGCAGCGAAGGAAAAAAGTGCACACACAGTTGACAGCATAGGAGCGCCTTTCTTGAAATTGAGTATACTGTGGGGTGTTTGGTTGAATATCAAGTGAGCGGTGGCAGTGAATATGGAGGCTCTGGTGATTTTGAGGAATTACAGTTGAGTAAGGAGACAAAATTTCCATGAGATGATCTTTGAGATTTGTTTCATTGATATTGCTGGAGTCGGTGATTTCATTGCTTATTTCAATGATTGGCATTTGAGAAAGATTTTTGACTAATTTCGACCTCTGTTTTGAATACAAGTCACATATGTAAAGAACATGCGACTCGTCTTCGATGGTCTCAACGCCCATACTTGATTGGCACCAACCACATAGTCTTTGCTCACGGGGTGTGTTGGAGTATCTGCCTCTTTCAATATGGAGATCATGTGCGCTGATTCTAAGTTTTGTGGTACTGTAACGACGAGAAAAGCCTTTGCATTGTGTTGGAGTATCTGCCTCTTTCAATATGGAGATCATGTGCGCTGATTCTAAGTTTTGTGGTACTGTAAAGCGAGATGATATATATATATATATATATATTTATCTGTGCCATTTTACTGACACCACGGCATCAACTTTGAACTTTAACGCGAATTTCTGCAAAAACTGTAAAAGATTTACAACTGAAACTTTTTTGACTGGGTCAAATGCTTTAATGGCCTCCAAATCAGCATGAAAAAATATTAATAAAAAATTGGCCAAGAAATAGGAATTTTAGGGCCCAAAATTTGGTACCCCAAGTGGTGTCAAAAACGCGAATTAAATAGGTAATATTGTTTTAGTCTTGACACCATTTTAGGGTTAGACGGGTTCCTGCTAGTCATTATAATTTGGCGTGACCAGTGATAGTATGGAAAGAAAAACACGTGTAATAGTAGAGATTACTAAGCAAGAAGTATACTTTTAGTGTATTAATATGTAGGCTGTTAACAGCAGGGATTTATTATACAAGATTAGGTACTGGTAGGTTTAGTGTAATAGATTTTGGATGATTTAGCATAACTTTAATGTTGATAGAAGGCAAATGTCTCAAGATAAATATCTTTTCCAGATTATTTAACACTGTTCCACGTATCTGATTAGAAAACTGAATAAGAATTGTTTTTTATGGATGTTTGATAATTTTAAGAATCCATTGGCGTTATTCATTTATTGATTTATTCATTGTGTAAGGAATGCTTACAAGAAAAGTAAAACAAACATCTCTGAACTATATCACTAATAAGGAAAATGCTATCGGTCAACTAATAAATTGAAGAGATAAACAAAATCATGAAACGATTACGGGTGCAAAATGATTTTTGAAAGACAAAGCGAGAAATCCCTTAAATATATGAAGATATGAAATGAAAAACCAAGAAATAGGGTTGATTTTTGAAAGAAATGAACTTAATAACAAATAAGTTTATTTCTTCTCTTTAAAACCATTAATGGACCCTTTACCATGTGCAAAACAAGCACGGAAACCGTCTACAATTTCTTGCCTGTTCCCGATGAAGTTTGAGTACCGTTGCCGAACGTGTTTAACACAAAATGGCAATGTCCAATCTCTATTACACGGCCCAGTGTTAAACTTTCCTTGCATTGACCAGAAGGTGGCAGAAGAGAAGGTAGTAGACTTTACTTTTATGTGGGTCTTCTTCTCTTTGGTGCTGCCATCAGGACACAACAGCTCCATTGTGGCTGGTACGTCAGCTCCATCCATCTTGTACTTGTCTACCAGTCCGAACACTAAAGCTGCTCCGGGCACTGGAAAAGCTACACTCATCCCTACCAAAGACTGGTGAGCCACTTCTTTTGTCGTAGATTCTGATTTGGAGACGGTTCGGGATCCTCCGAACCCAACAGAAACACCCATGGTCACCGAACTTCCTGCTCCAAACACCTTGGCAGCTGCCTCCACTTCCACTGTCACCGACACGCCCCAGTTATCCTCGTTACTCTCCCCGAACTCAAGCGTGGTCGATTCCGTGACTGTCCTCGAGTGCTGCATGCTCAGGGTGTAGGTGGACGGGCCAGTGCACGTGCCACCATCGTTAGCGCCGATAACCTCTGTTGATTCGTATCTGGGCGTCAACAAACCCTGGGACCCCACCCTGACTTTCTGTACAGTACACTTTGGGTGGTAGCTGGCACAGAGAGGTCGCAGGGAGGTGTAGTAATCATTGTGTGCCACTATGTTATGGCATTCGTTCTCTTTTATCACCCATCTAACTCCTGTAAAGAGGTAGTGTTCGTATAACTCCCAGTCCCCCTTAACAGCGCACGCCGAGCTAATCTTGTCGTTCCAGTCGTTCAAGTACGATTCATCCTTCGTGTAGGACTTCTTGTTGCCAAGGTGGTCACCATGCTCCCAAACTTCTAGCAGGGCATCATTAGCATCCCCTGTGTAAATACAGGTAGGTCGAGCTGAGGAGACTGCGTCGTTGAAGGTTCCCCCCAAGTTGTTGTAGTGACGACCACCTTCCACTACCATCCTCAGCCCTTCAAAGTTCCAGTTAGAGTACAGTTCCCAGTTTCCGTCAGCTCGTGCACTGGATGCTGCATCATTAAAGTGGACATTTCCAAGCCAATCTACAGGTTCAGTCAGTCGTACCTTGTTTCCATTGGTATTGTCGTGCTCGTAGAGGTCCAGCCAGATAGCGCACGAAGCGGAGAGCAGAGCGAGAAGAGAGAGGGATTGAAGCATCTTTGCGAGGTTGCTTGATACAAATTATGAGATTTCGTGTTGAGCTAGCTGGTTAAG